TACTTAGCAATTTATTAAGAAAATATTTTTCTATAAATTTTAACAGATGCCATTTAATTGCGAATAAATAGTAAATTAATGAAATAATTTATAAGGAAGATAAAGATAATAATTTAAAAAGTAATCATATAATACAAGGTTCTGCTATTTACAAACTCATTTTATTCGAAATTATAATTTAAGATTTATGGAAGTAAGTTTCTCAAAAATGATCAATTTGAATTTTAGCAAGACTACTAACTAAATATGTCTAAATTTGAACTTGGATGATTAAGTTAATGAAACATAATAAGAATCAACGTATATAGTTTTAAAAAGATTCTAAATCTTTAAGTCTAGAAGTGACTGTTACTACCTTTTCTATCTTAAAGCTAAATTGAGACCTTCCTGAGTTAGATTTTTAAAAACACACGATCATTTAGATTCTTTTCAACTTAACCATTATCATAAGAATAAAAATACTAAACTGGGAACTCCTACCAAGAATAGTGTATTAAGCGATTTTTTTTTCATAAACTCCCAAAAGTGATCAAATATCACACGATTTATTTATTGAAGGTTTTTGGATAAAATAAACTAATCTTATTCAATAAGATTATGAATATTGATTTAAAGTATGAGTTTGCTCTTCCTTTCAAAAACTTTTGTCTCATTTTAAGATTATCTTTCATTATTATTTATTATTATTCTAAATCATTACTCCAATTAATCTTCTTATTCATCTTTTAGTATCTTCTCTATTAATTTTTCCAGGCTTCTCTTCAGATCTTTATTAGTTTTCCTTAAAAAGGTTTTTCTAATTTATCATAGAAGTTTATTCCATGATATTCAAATAAATGCAAAAGCTCACATCTCGTATTGATCTGAATTTTGCATTTGCTTAAATTTAATAGAAACAGATGTTTAAGGTTATTTGGTAAGTTCATAAATCCGTCGGTTGATTTTTTTTTATTTATTTTCAAAATCCATAATTTTTTCTTCCTCTCCTTGTCTGAATTAATACTTTATTGATGTTTCCTATTATTTTTCAATTGCTATGTCCAAACATGACCTTTGAATTAGTTAAAGAAAACAATCATCTGTAAATTAGGGCAACTATCGAAACCTCTTCATACATTACTTCCAAATAGCATTAATTTTATTTCATATTTCTTTTTTTAAGTGAATAAAATCGGAAGTATATATTAGATTTAAGTTTTAATCTACATTTCCAAAGTAAAATTCTGGTATCTAAACTAAAGTCTTTAGATAGTTTCTTCATTTACAATTCTAAATATTTTATTTTGATTTAATAGCATTGACATACTAATCCCCCTTCCATTATTATCTACTCCAAGGTACATATAATTTGTTGAACAGAAATCCAAAGTAAATTTTTATTCTAATAGTTCTAAATTCAATAATATTCTGGCTTTTCTGATTATGGCGCATTTTTTTGTATTTATTTCGAAATTTAGATTTTAAGAAGCTTTATTAAAACATTCTAGTATGGGATCAAGATACTTCTCCTTGCATATAAAGGCTATATCATCTGCATAATAGTAGTAGTGGACAATTCTGCTGAAATTATATAGTTTTTCCATTTTTTTTATTATGGTGTGCGAGTGTCTATCAAAAAGAAACAGCTATAAAACACTTCCTTATGGTATTTCATTTAAAAAAAACTATCTTTTTATTTTTCTTTTTGATGTACTGCCAATTCAGAAGGCTTTGTGAGAAAAATAAATAATGTTCTAGTTCCTTCGACAAAACCAAATTATTCTTTTATAATCTTTTTTTCACAGTATTATTAGAATTTCTTCAAGAACCTCAATTCCAGCCATTTCATTATAGGACTTTACACTAAGATTGGTCTAAATTTATCTTTTTGAGGAATGTTTGGAAAGGCTTTGTTGAGTGGAATCAATCGGTTGTCCCCAAAATTTTGAATTAAATCTTAGTTAATGAGCATATGCTCGTTTTGGTTTTTGTGCTTTTGTAATTATGGTCAGCAGAACAGATCTGATTTACCTGAATTGATTCCTCAAAAATTATTATTTTTTTTATATATAGTAGAATCGCACTTTTAAAGATAACTTTACATAAATTGAAATATCTATTCAAGTTTATCTAGAAGTCATTGTTGGATTCTTATTGTGAAATACCTATTTATTTGGATTTTTCTTTATCATCAATTTAAATGGGATTTTCTTTGTTAATAAATTGATTCCATTATCAGAATTACTTTGCACTACTGTTTGTTTTGTTTTCTGGAAGAATTAATTGGTTTTATGGTTTTAGTTTATTACATAAAATGACTATCTAATGAGTTAAGTCCATTTTCTTAATTAATATCAGGTTTTATTTGAAAGATTTTGAATAATAGTAGGTGTATCTTCCATCTTTTATTATTATCATGAATCTTATTAATCGTGCAATTAATTCAAGATGAGAATATTTTCTCTCTTGATTCCTTTTTAGGATATTAAAAAATCAACTTATCTTTTGAAAATGAAATCATCAATATATCCATAAGTGAGTATTTTTAAAGTTATTTAGGTGTCATGAAATTTGCATTCCTCACAATTTTAATGGATGCAGAGTTACTAGTATTAAGGTAATTACTAGCCATTAGTGTGAGATTTTGATTAAACTGTATTTATATTAAAAATTCTATAAAACATTTAATTTCTGATTTTTTCTCTTAACTTTTCTCTTTACTCAATATAAGTTCAGAGTTTGTATGCTATTAATCTTAAATAGATTATTCTTAGGTTTGCTCTGATAGTAATGATCGATAGTTATTAATTAATTTAAATAAAACCAGAATACTAAATAAGAGATATTTTATATAAAAATTAATAAGTATTGAATAATATAATAATAAAATTTAATTATTGAAGGATGTATATTAATGAATTATAAGTCAATTTAATATTATTAGTTCTTATTAAATATTTAATAAGATAATTCTGATTAATTATATGAAATAAAAATGTATTTAATCAAATATAAATCATAATTATAAAATAACATTTATTTTAATGAAATAATAGAATTTGTTTACGTGTTAAGATATTGCACATGAAGGAGAAGTTATATAAGGATTTTGTTTAAATTTGGAATGCTAAGATTCGAAATCTTAGTTTTGTCTTTCATGTGGATTAGATCCTAAAAAACATACTAATTGTAAGAAAGATCTAAAAGGATTTGGTTAAATTTAGAGTTTTATCACTAAATTCAATTAGTATATACTTGATTTGACTATCTAATTAAATTAATC